ATTATCTATATACTTTAGTTTAATGCATCAATTTATTATCATTTATCAATTCAAAATTTGAAATTAAAACGGTTTTGCCTCCCCCACACATACTTAAGTTAAAAACTAAATAAAACATTCAAGTTACCCAATTACACATAAATTAAAAATGAAGTGTATGAATTTTTCATACGATTACATCAACTACGTATCTGCCCTACAATAATATTACATACACTTTTATACCTATATATTATATAAGCAGTAAGCACGTACGAAAAGTTATTAAAGTTGTTACTTATTACTTATAGTTACTGATCGGACATTCGTACCTACTCGTTTCCTGTATAACAACTAACAACTAAGAAGAAAATAATAATATTATAATAAAATATAAAATTGAAAGCTGGTTTATAAATAAATTATAAGTAGCTATTATAAATTGCACTGTTTCGATTTCATAATAGGAACTTTTTCTCAAAAACTGTACAGGTATACTCCAATAAACTCAATTTATTACTATTTTGTGTGGTCATGATGTGTTCAAGCAGGAAAATCGTGTGTGTAACGTCCCTTTAAGTACCCATCTTGTAATATATTTAAATATAGCCTATATTATAGGGTACTTGGTCCAAACTGAATAATTTATGCAGCGAAATGAATATCGGATATCACATACCTGCCCAATGTCCTAATATGGATAATGCCATACCGATTCGATAATAATATGATATAATCTATTAACATAATAAACACGATCGTATATTATAACAATAATTTAAAAACGTGCGTGGTTAAGTTGTGTCCAGAATTTGCATGAAAATCAACCTAGCCCGCGGGGTCGTGCAGCATCGATCGAACCACAGATGTAACGGCATCGGTGAATTCACATTCGCGTGCACAAAAACATACACCTAAGGCTATAAATGTATCAATAAACCGGAATTAATTAGCACACGGCCTTCAACTTTCAAGGGTTTTGGTGTGCCTGGACGTACGACCTATCGTTCACGAGTCGAATCCTAGTTGTATAGGTAGGTACATCATAATATTTATAATATTCATAGGTATACGTATTGTGATATCGTATGAAACATTCTGCGAAATGTGTACGCGTACGATTATAATTGCTTCGTTTTGATCCAATGCGTATGGCATAGGTCGCACTTGTTGCATTGTTACATCGAACGCAGACTTTACGGCGAGTGACTTTACGTAATAATATCCTATACTATCGTACATTCGTACCTGTACAACTGTAGTAGGTACCTTATATTATTATAATATATTATATATTATACTATACCTACGGTGTATTACCATTTACCAGCGATTTTACTATTCAAGTTCAGACATTATATTAATTCAATCAGACCAACGAAGACGGCGTCATCCATTATGCGAGCATAAACCACCGTGTGACCAACTATACATTGATTAGATATAATGCGCGTCTTATAAATTATAATTTGACCCGACCTATTATGGGTATCAAACGTCTCCGACCAATTTTTTTTTTAAATTTTGATATCGCTTACTTTTAAATGTTATAAGCCTAATAGTTAAATCAACCAATCAATCTCAATTGTTTAATGTACAAGGCTGGACAGCACGACAGTACCCAATTATTTATTAATATAGCTGTTTAGTTGTATAAAATATTATGATGAGTACCTACTTAATTATATTTGAACTTTGTCAAATGATTATTAATCCCACGTAGCGGTTCACAATACAAGTAAGAATTACTGATTGATATAATAAATGTCTGGAACCGAATTAATTTGTATGTGACATTTAAAACAAAACTAAATTGCTGCAGCCAGATTGTCATGTTATAAATCGAAAAAATGATACGGGTATATCAAAGTATTAATATTTGACGAGATGAAGTAACAATTGAGGTTTGATTGAATACCACAGCTAATAATAAACGTTTAAAAATCCGTAACTTGTTTCAAGGGTGTACAAAGAAAACCGTTAAAATTGATGTTGTTTAGTTGAATATTATTATTTTATTTTATCGTTATTTCAACGGTAATCATAATAAATAACCATACATTATATATATATTGCACGTCAAAAATCATAATTCAACAAAAAGTATTTCATAAGCCATTGAATTCGTTCTGTTGACGTGACATCATTTTGGGATTATAAACTATAAAGGTACAAACGATGAATGATAGTAATATACTATAATATATTAAATATAATACATCATTTAATCGATGCCATGAAATATGCATCTACTTCATATTATAATGTAATTACAATTTTAAACACTGTCGTTTGAATTAGTTGTACGACTTTGTCAGAAGGTGTCAAGGTGTACAGTACTATGATATTTAGTTATTATTTTATAAATGTTTCATCGGCGCCATGAAATGAATTCGCACAAAAAAGTTAAGAATGTAAAACCAAGTAGGTAGATTAAAGTTTTTAAAATAAGAAAAATATATTAATATATTACAAAAACCTGTCAAGAATATGATTGTTATCTTATTTTTCATATAGGTAATTTCATTATACAAACTATTGTTCTCCGGCAGAAGGTATGAACTTTCAAGGTAACAATCAAAAGCAATTCGATTTTTTTTATCATTGTCAAATGCTTTTGAAAATAACAAATCTAAACGTTATCTAAAAATTATTTGGCCATCATTATATGAATTGGATTATTCTATAAAATTGTAATCGTGCAATCGTGCAAATTGTAAGGACTTAAAAAATAAGCTTAGAAAAATAGTGTGACCATGTAGGATCAATTACTCCGTCCGTCTTAAGAGGATGTCACACCTGCATGTGTTGTCTCCGTCTTTGTTGTAGCGAACTACCAAATTTTGACAACACTTAAAGAAGAACTTTATCTGTGCAACAGCATGCTTTTTTTTAATAGCAAATAACTTTTATTGCATTTATGTTATCTAAAATATGGGCACCCTGTTGCATAGATAATTTTCCACTTTATATGTTCAGAAATGTTGGAGCCACTACTACAAACACAGAAAGATAAAAGTTGTCCAGCGCAAAACAGTTTTTGCTATGTTGTACATATGTAAGACGGAGATAACACATGCTGGTGTGATATCCTCTTAATAGTTAATAATTAGGTAAACATGCAAAATCGTATATATACCTCTTGCTGGTAAATCTACACTATCCATTTCGACGTTACCGCCGCTGCAACATATGACGGGCTTGCACACAGCATACGCACGCCGTATCCTCTTCCAGCACCAAGTTATTACAGTCATCCCATTTGAATTTTCCACATAACAAACACACCAAAAAACGTTCGAAAACGGGTTTTTAACAAACAAAGTCTGATTGTCGCCTAACGACGGGTAAAACAATCAATCTACAGCTTCGTATATTTTATAGCACATAATATGACTAGGTATATAATATTTCATTATTACTATATACATATACCAGTTACAACGCATGTATAAGAAAAACCTGGGTCGTAAATAATGCCATTTTTTTTTTAAAAATATAATTTTGTACGTATATAATATATTTTTTTTTATCAGTTATCACGCGGTATTTTCGTTTACGTTTGGTCACGGTCGTTGATGGACACGAGTGGATGTGGGACGGAGAGCAAGCCAGCCGGTTGTTTCAGTATTGCAGTCTATGATGGAGATTTGAATAGTCGCATATAATACGAAACAGTGGTCAAACGGACGCGGCGATTGATCGTCAGAAACGGAGAGAGCGGAAGAAGGAAAACGCGCATAAGGCTCGGCGCGATGATATTTTGTACACGATTTTTTTTTTCGTTTGCGGTCGCAAATGGAGGGGGGAGAAATCGAACATAAATAGTTTTCACACTTTATCATCGGCGTATAAAATATGTAACGGAGAACGCTTTAACCCGAAATAATAATGTAGTGCGTAGGAGGAAAATATAATATACAACAGTCATTACACTGTGTAAATCGCAGAGACGGACGGAATTATCGCATCATGATAAAAATATATTATAGAGAACGTAAAATATCGAAGTCGGCGAGAAGGCTTACATTGATATGCATCAAATTTAACCCATCGAAATAACAGGAAAATTATGATAAACCAAACAACGTCCAACATTATTTATTTTTTTCGTTCTTTGTAGGTACTGTTATTTGTTACCTATATTATATACATATTATTATCAAGTTTAGTATTTAGTGTTTACCTAACAGAGATCTTAATAATTTACAGTAGCAGTAGTAGCACCGGAGCATAATACTACCAAGACTGAATCCTAATAATATATATATATATATATATATATATGTATATGATAAATAGTATTAATGTAGTATATATTGTACAATGTTTCCAGTACATTGCTAGAAATTGCTAGTATTCTTTAGGATTACTAATTCCAAGTCAAATGACAAAAGCAAACGATTTTTAATTTATTAATTTATTGTTTTGAATAATATTTATCGGAGCAATGTTTCAAATAACATAATTAATTTGAAAAAGTAGGTGGTACAGATATTAAGAATACATATTAAATATTTTATGTAAAAACTATTATTGTGTGTAATAATTTAAAAAAGAAAAATAATGCACTTCATAAACGAATGTATAAACATGTATATATATATTATATTTGTATGTTTATACATCATAATATTATTATATTTATATTTTAAATTAAAAAAGAATTATTGATTAATGTACAAATTCTGGGTACAACAGAAAAATAAATTATATCATGAAAATAAAATATAAAATTACACTGGATTAACTAATAATAAATTATGAAGCAAACACAGTGAAGGATAAAGCTATAATAATATGTAAATTAGAACGGCAAAATAAAAAATTTAAATAAAAAATGTGACAGTCATTAGAAATTAACTACTAAGATTATGAAAAACATGATATATAAAAATTTAAGAATGCCAATTACAGCTAATACTTCCAAACAAATTAATGAAAACAATAAATAAAAATAAATTACTGAATACATAAGTCTTTCATATGTACAATATGTTATTGTACACTTAATATTAAATTTATACCCAACAAACTTTAATAGGCGGCGAAGTATTTGAACTTCCAGTCGTGTGGTAATTAAATGATTGATTAATAGGTGTAGTGGACACAGAACTCCACCTTCTAGAAACTTTATCAATTGGAAAATGTCCGGTTGGTGGCAATCCCAATTCGGGGTAAGTAGGAGAATTACTGTTATCGTGTGAACTGATTGATGAAAAACCACTCTCATCTTCAATAACATTATTTTTCTGCTTAGTTTCTTTTTTGAAAAAGTCTGATCCTTTAATAGATGTTTCACTGTGGTTTGAACTGCTACTAGAAACTTCCAAGCATTTTACACCATTACAAACGGCCGGTAAAGAATCACAACTGCAAAGCTATGGATTGGGGGACAACAATTAATTATAATGTTATGAACATGAGAAAAACAATAATGTTACATTCAAGTGACAAACAAACACTTACTGAAGAGTTGCTGTTCTTTTCAAACAATGTACTATAGCACGGTGTTAAGTGTTGGACTAGATCTGGTTCTTTGGTATGAATTATAGACTGAACGGTGCGATACAATCTATATGCTTCTAGCGATAGCTTTTCTGTATACTCTCCTCTGTTACTCTTCAGTGATGGTCTTCTAGACAAAGATATTAATAAATAACTAAAATCAGGAATATCAAAATGAAGAATAAAATGCCAACATTATTTATTCAAGATATAGGTATTAATGAAGACAAGTTGTCTTGTTGAAGACTTAAAATTTTTTTTTTGTTATATTAGTTTACCTATTCTTAATGGGTAGACTAGGTTTGTCGTGGTTCGTGTTTAAAGACGTGTGCGCTTTTTCCAAGAATTTAGACACTTGTTCCAACACTGCTTTATACATTTGATTACTAGCCTCGACCTGTAAACAAATTTCAAAAGTTATTTGTGGCAACAAAAAAATATACGCGATTATGGTAAAAAAAAAAAATGTAGGTATGTATAAATATATTATAATAAACGTATATGACACGCACCTGCTTCAATTGCCACTGAAGAGTGTCTACTTGGGATTTTGCCAATGTCAACTCGATGCAAGGCGCCTGGTGGTCATTGGCATCTTTCTGCATCAGTTTCTCGTGTTTTGAACGCAAGTCGTCGTAAAGCTAGCAAGAATAAAAGGCCAAATGGTTATTTATTATTAATAAACAAGGGGAAACACGATAAGTACCTAGCAATAATGGTTTTAGAGGGGCGATTATACAGCAGGACGACGAATTATTTACATATTTAGTTTTTGTTTAATGTAGAAATAAAAAAAAGACAAAATCATCAGGCAGTCATGGTTGATAAACCATGTGTGAATCCTGTACCGTCCCGAAACTGGGTTTACTACTTGTGCGCACAAAATGTTAAACACATTACTCAATTTTCAAAACGCAAAATATCCAAATTTTAGTTAATGCTATAGGACGAAGGATAAATAACGAAATGGTTTAAGTATGAATAATAAATCTTGACCTAATATAGAGCACGTGATCTATGATATAATAGATGTGACTTTCTCTTAAAAATATTTATTTAAAATATAATATAGGGTACTCGGTATTATTAATATTCTAACTAAAACGAGTACACAATAAAATAATATTATGATAGTACGATTATCACGTGAGTGTAGTAGTGTACTACAATATTTTATTTAAGTGCGAATATAAAAAAAGTTACTAATTAATTAGTGAAGTATACTAATAAGTATTGGCCATTGCCATATTTATTTATCACAACAAACAAAAAGTGTTTGTTCCAAGTGCTCAGATAAATATAAATATTAAAATGAATGTAATGCTTTTAGATCACTAATTTCAGATTAGTTCAGACAAGACGCAAAAAAATGTATGCGGATTAAAGTAGATAACCTTCATGTCGAGATCGTTGGAATCAATTTAATTCATAAAATGCCCATTTTAAGTAAGTATCATAAACAGATAGATACGAGCCCGAAAAAAAACTCACCTAACCACCACCATTAATAAAAATGTTGAAACACGGTTGACATTGCAGCAAAACATATAAAAAAATAACCACAAAGAATTTGACGGATAATGAATCACAATAATAATATATGGTTTACCATGTACCGAGGCGTATTATTATGAAACAACAATGGCCAAACAACATTTAAAGGAATTATGCTCTGGCTGTATTATACGTGTAATTATATACACTCTATAGTCTATATGCATGAACACGAAATTTGTGACAGACTGACATCATGAGTAACAAAACCATGCAAGTCGGGCAATTGATCGAACGCTAGAGAGAAAGCATTTTTTTTTTTTTTTACTTTAACAAAAATAATTAAAATAATAGTAATAATCATCGCCACACCACGGCAGGTGTATTCTAAAGTATTATTCAAAATTGTTTTGTTTTATGATCAATTAATTTCTCACGCTTTGAAATCAGAAATATTGATCAAGTTGTATTCCGCAATAACAATAACAACATCAAAAGTAGGCTATAATTTTATAACCTTTTTTTTTAACAATTGACAAAGAGCCAATAATATTCAGTGAAAGTATATTTCTTTAGAAAAGTTATTTTTCACTAATGTGCCATTATTATTATAATATTATCTGTACTATAATATTAATTTTATAACAATCTCACTTTCGGCCAGATAAACATAATACGATCTGATGCAACAGACCTTGCTAATATCGACTAGCAAGTACAATGCAGAAGTAGAAAAAGTTACACTTTAGTGATAAATAATGGGAAATTGTTATTTGTTGGTGATTGTTCAATAGTGTTCTAGTTTTCAAAGAAACGCATATACCTACTACCTATTGATTTAATTTGCCGAGTGTAATTTCATGCAGCAACTTATACACATATTTTTCGGTTTAATGTAATATTTAAAATTTTCGAAGGTTAAAAATCCAATTTTTACAATGGTCATATTGTACGTTCGAGGTTTTTTTTTGTTTTGATTATAAACGATAAGAAAATATATTTTACTACTATGGCGAATTCTGTGAAATTCCGCACACCGACGGGCGACGACGGACCTCCCGGCTCCCCTACCACAAATTGGCCAGATTGCACAATTATTAGTATAATAATTACCTCTTTTATTTCAGTTATTATTTTATTATACTCAGACAAATAAAAACATTACTAAATCAATACATGGGTGTATACATATTTTTTAGTATAATATACCTAAATCACAATATAAATAACAAATGTGTTGTACAATTGGAAAGCTAGAGATTTTATACACGATTTTTTTTTTGCAACTAATCTAGATTTTTTTGCATAATAAATGAATGAAAAACTGTTCTCTCGCGCATGTAATTTTAAAATAATGTTGTTTGTATGGATTTATGTAGAAAAAAAAGCAAACTCAACCTATTTATTTATAAATATCATTCAAGTACCCATGATTACTGGATTTCCAATTTTTTACATCATTATTGCGAATGAAAAAAATAATATTTTTTAGGTAATAACATAAAATTACTTATATCTATTAGATAACTAGGTAATAAAATATTTTGAAGTAACAATAAACATACTATGAAGGTACTTACATTTTGTAAATGTTTGTATTCTTTTCTAATAAATTCGAATGATTCGTTGTTTTCATTTGTTTCAAACCTTTGAGAAAGTCTTCTATTTACCTAGAAATCGTAATATTTCATATATTAATCAAGTTGTATTCAGTAGCACAATATGTTCATATAACATAAATCATCAATATTAAAAATATAAATATTTTATAAAGAATACATAATACATATTTAATATCTACAATGCACTAACATAATATATTAAACAAAATAGGATATTATGTATAGGTAGGTACACTCATGGTCCACAAAATATTATATATACCGTCAACAATGGAATTTATTTTAATAGTAGCGCCAGAAATATGAATAGTACAGAGAATACTTGACAGTTTTTTATGGAGAAAGTTATCTAAATTATTACAAAACAATTTCAATACCAGTAATAATAATCTACAATGGTAAAGACGATTCGAGTATTAACAGTTTTTTAGTCTGACGTAACACATTTCATCAACTATTCATTTGTATGTCATAGCCCATAGGTATTTGAATTATGCTATTAGTGAAGAAAATTGTATAATATACACCATACGGGCATTATATAGGAAATTAGCGTGGAAATGAATACACGCAGGTCGCAGAATATACTGTTCGTACAATTTAGACTAGAGGACGCGTCAGTAATTTCTGCGGGCCAAACACATTCATAAAACGCGTTAAAAATAATAATAAAACAAAACCGTGATAATTTTATGGTCTAATTATTCATCCCATTAATTAAACGGGAACGAAAGTTTATTTAATAATTTTTACGGAAATTAAAAAAAAAGAAAAGAATTTAAGTATTAAACAGTTTTCAATAAATATGGAGTGTAAAGATTATATAAGTGCATTTTAATTTAAAGTTTTAATTCATTCGGAGTTACTAGTTGGCTAATAATATGACCATCGTCATTATTGTGCTTTTTAGTACATAGGTATAACAATAACACTATAGGATAACTGTTCGCATGTGTAAACGCTACTTGTTCTGTGTGTATTATAATGCACTCTATTATATTTGCATAATACTTAGGATCACTTAAAAACAACGGCATATTACCTGTAATCCATTAAAGACCTCGAACACATCGTGATCCTGTCGTGATCATAATATTATCAATTATTGTATATATTTTGTACTTGTTAGTTATTAGTTATTACGCAACTCAATACATCACATATACACTAACAAGGCATTTACTAATTAAATAAGAAATATATTTTTGGCGTAGGTGCCTACATATTTGTAGTGTTACCACAGCAAAAAAACTTGAATATACTGAGTACTCGTGACTCGTGAGAACGAGATAACCTTAATGAAACAACGAAATAAACCCAACAATTATTATAACATATTATATGTAATGAACTTACCTAAATACTTTTAAGTTTTGACTCATCGTAGTTTTGTCTGAGGTAGTGAGGTTAGTAACAATTTTCAACCATATAATATATTAATTCAAATTGAATTTTATTATAACGGTATTTTTTGCTAGAAAATTCTCATGGAATATGATTATTCTAAGTTTATATCCGTTCTAATAATAATAGTTGTATCTAGATATCCGGGGTAGTACCGATATATTATGTGGATAGCCATTCGCCGGAAATAATGGCAGTGTTTCAAGATAAATACATTTAAAAAAAAGGCAAAACCCGCAAACTTACGTGGTGCTGATAGATTTTTATTGTGTCCCACTGTATTTTACTGCTACTCCTACCACCCGTTGTAATTTTGGTAAAAATGTTGGATTATTTCATGGTTTTAACGTTATCTATACATTAACATAATGGTTACATATTAAACAACATAATATTTTAAATGTTTCAATCCTTAAAAATAATATAACTACAGAAAAATAAAAATATATAATTCTGTGCAAACGTAAACGGTACCTATATGAATTATACAAGGTAGGTGCGTGTAATGTGTGTCGACATAAATTCATCTCAGTTTATTAGCCTAAACATTATAACTGAACCCAAATAAAGTAAAGTAGGTAAAAATAATCCGACAATACGCTACTAATATGAACGATCCCAGACAAAACCCATTAAGAAAATGTAGGGGGATAAAATCAAAAAGTGGGAATTCGATGGTAAGTAGACTTAACGACAAATTTAAATGTGTTTTCAGAATATTTATCGCTTTACTATAGATCGATCTGTACGTTGGAAATAGAAAAGTCTACATTTCGATGTTAAAACTTAAGAATGACAAAGACAGAAAAATCACCACTTCCCTTATAATATTAATTTATTCAAGATTATTAGATGGGTCTTTTGTGTTGAATCCATCTAAAATTTAGTAATATATTTACTATAAAATAAAAATAATATTATAATGTTAACAACACATCAATACTATAATATTAATATAATGTGGCTAACACTGAAAAATTATTTTTTTACCCAACTAGAAAGTAACAACATAATATTATTATATTTAATTTATAATAACACAATTTTAAATTTAGATAAATGTTTTTGATCTTGTAATTCAAATAATTGAAATTATGAATATTTCTAATCTTTGAGGTTGACAATTTTAAATAAAACTTTACTTAGGTAGGTAGGTATACTAAAATATTAATGTTTGGCATTTGGTGTATGATAATCAGATTCTATTTTTGTGTTTAGTACGCCACTCTGTATGTTATACGAAATTCGTTATGGGCAGAACGAAATTGAGTAACCACTAATTTATGACAGTATTATTTTCATTAATCTAAAAACATAGGAAAGATTTTATAAGTACTGATGTATTTTATTTCTGATTTTATTTGAGGGCAGTGACTAATTTTAAGTATTTCGGAAATCGTTAATTATTTTATTAATTAATATATTTACATAGTTTACTGTGTATGCCCGGTTGCAAACGTAATCAATTCGTGAAAAAGTACTGAATGACAAATGAAATAGTAAGATAAGTCTGGGAAACATGTTCAAAAATACTAGGGACAAAAAATTGGTAACTACTACATAATATATAGTACACACAAGAGTACAAGACACCACCTAAAATATTATGAATAACGATGAATAATAGGTATGAAATAATGTAGGTACCTAAACTAGTAAGTAGTAACTACCATAGTACCACCTACCTACTACCAAATAATATTATTTTTTTAATATATAATTGTACCTAAGTGTCCATATCGTTGTTAGCTTTTTTGACACAATAACCGAACGTAAATTGACCTTTAAACCGTTACACTCCATGGACTTTCTAATTCAAGATCTCATGGCTCATATTATAAAATTATATATTATACGTATTCACTATAAAACAGTACAAACATTAGTGTTCATAAAGTATGAATTTTTAAACTAGTAGTTAGTGTTAGTAGGTACCTATGTTATATTATATTGCGTACTTATTAAAAATTAACTTATATACAGTATAATATATTATAACAAGCTCATATTTTCAACAGCAATCACAATACAAGCTAAAATTGGATTCTAAAACGACTAAATCATATTATCTAAAACCAAAAAATCTCAAATCAGTCTTTTGTTATTTTTTTACGAAGTAGACCTAAGTTCATTATAAATACCAAAAAACTACAATTATTATAAATAATTACCGGTTGTTAATAATATTGTTATGTAAATAACATAATCTATTCATTTGCATACACCTTCAACATTTAAAAAAATATAGGTAGATATATCAATAATTTGTCCATAATATTAAGTAGGTATATATATTTTGTGATTACGTATAGAAAAAGGTAGTGAATTAAACCGGTTTTATTTGATTCATGGTCAAAGCATATCAAGCCTTTTATGGTTCTTTGATCTAATGTCTTCGACAATATTTCAAGATTCAATCCCTTACATCACTATTAAGTAAAGTAAAAAAATACAAAAGCGGATACAAGGGACAGCGTCACAGCGAGGCTTCCCTATAATATAGCCAATAGGTACTTTTTGAAAAATTAATTTTATTGTATAATAGGTTTTATATAGGTATGATAAACTAACAAAAAGATGGTACGCATAGTACTTTAGATTACAGTATCTGGGTACAATATTAATATATTATACTTATGACTTTTTAAGTTAAGAGTATTTCATTAATTAATTTATACGACTTATGTGCATTGTGCATAATATTATATTATGTTGTCTCTAGCCTGCCGATTTTTAATTTCTAGATCCACCACTGAATACATTTACTGATAATAATAATACCCAGCATATTTTCCGCAGTGCTCTAATTGTGTAACTTAATTCCTTCAACTCTTTATAGCTATCCTTTCCCATGTCTATCATGATTTGTTCCATGTATTCCATATTTCCATCCTTGGTCTTCCTCTTCCAATATAGCCTTCTACATTTTCTTCTATAATCTATACAGCGGTGGATTTCATTCGTCCACTTAGGGGGGGGGATATCCTTTTGGGTTCAAAATTGTTACCAACTTAGGACATTACAGAGACAAGCACACGTATCCTAAAACAATTTTAGCCCGTGATTATACCTTATAAACACTCTAAACTTCTATACAGATTTTTGAAAGAAAATATTATTTATAGGTAATTTATGATGTCTAGGGGGGCACCTATGCACTATGTCCCCCCCAAATGGCGCGTTTGCTTCTATGACTCGTTTCGTTAGACTATTATGGTAAGTGTCCTATTATTTGAGTCTCTTCTAACTTCGTCTAACTTTAATACGGCACCACAATTCTCGTACTACCAATACTGCTTCATATTTTATTATTCTTCCAGTCCATTTAATCCTCGATTTAATCTCCAGCATTTTGTGATACACCACATTTGGAAGGCCTCTAAATAATTACTTATCTATAATTCAGATTACAAGCTAAAATATATTTTCCTAAACTTTAATGTAATTAAGAAATGTCGTAAAATATAATGTCAATAATATTTCGGTGTATAAAATTGAACAAACCATTACGTAATACGTTGATAAAAATAGAATTAGGAGTTTCTAATTATTTAAGATTAAAATGTATCACGACGAGAATCGTTGTGTACTTTACGTCATACGAATACTCGGGACTCACATCTACGCACAGAACAAATTTAACGTAATTTTGTATTGATAAATCATAAACCTCAAGCAACAACTTTACAACACAAGTACGACATCGTAATAATAACGGTCAAAACAATACGATAGTTGTTGACTGTTGTTGTACAGCGCACGGAGATCGTAAGTCACACGAGTAAACCAACCTCCCCTCTCTCCGCCCGATGGACGGGACTCGCGAAAAAATTATAATAAATATGCCGGTAAGTGGACACCCACCGGAAATTGAATTTTTTTTTTATACAATATAACCGACGTCTAGCGAAAAAAAATTTAATATCGGCCCGGGTAGTGCCAAACCTTCTACCTAACCACGTTCCCACACCGAGCTCATCAACAACATTTATCCACGTGAATAATTAATTTTTCTTCTCGACTCAACAAAACGGAACGTCGGGCACCTCCCATGCAATAATGACGAAAAACGTTTACCGAGCTCCAAGTAACACCATCCCCCCTAGCAACCGGTCGAAGCAGGCAAACATCGCACCGCGCCTCGGGCAAAACCCATCTCGGTCTGTGTCCGTCACGTACGCTGATAATAATAACATTATTACCGAGTAACCAGTATTTACCCAGTCGGCGGCGACGTGAAGTCAATCAATATCGTGGAAAGAAACGCCTCTAGTTACTGTATTATAATAATGTATACCTAATATAGGTAGTACTAAGGACTACCACGGCGGTGATCATAGACCTCAGTGTTGTAGACTAGTATAACCATAGATAAAGAAGTAACTAGTATAACAGTACAACTTGGTATAAGGTCTCTATGGGTGGTGATACATCGATATTATTCGGCACACACACACACACACACACACACACACGCAAAATATTAATAACATCGAAATGTCGACCCGTTTTTTCCTCCGATTTTTCTTAATTATTACCTGCCGCTGCGATCCGACGGTGTTGTACCGGCCGTTGCCGCCGCCGGTCAAGTCCAGGTCGGCAAAGTTCAGCGACTTGGTCGTCTCCAGCGCCATGGACTTGGCGAACGAGCTCTTGAAGTACTGCCGCTGGTGGTGGTGCTGGTCGCGGTCGCCGTCCGACAGACCGTCATACGAACCGGACAGATAGTGATTTCTTTCCATTTCCGGTGTTGGCGCGCTTAGAACACCCGGGGACGAGAACCACCGTCGCCGTCGTCGTTTCACGGGCAATAAACAAACGCGAGACGATTGCAGCGGTGCATATACACGCTCGCACACACACACACGCGCGAGCGAGCCCAAGTCGTCGACCTTTTACGATTTATTATTACGCCTCGTGCGATATCGTACAGAGCTGCCGTACACCACCTACCTATAATACGTGTTGTTATTTTTTCTTGAAACTAGGCCAAAGCCAAACGGTCCAGCGAAAAAACTCCGGTGACTGGTCCGCTGGAATGCGATTAAATATAGATCTCCTGGTCCCGGACGGACGAGCGCAGACTTCCGCAAAATTCGGCGGCGCGCGGCGGCTCGGCGAACGAAAATAAAAACGGAAATAATTCAAAACGTCACATGGGCCCCCCACTGCGCGCGCGCAACAAAACTGTCGCGAGTGGCGACTCGCGGTTATCTCGCACGGGCCACGGACGCGAAAACCAACGCGCACACAGCGACGGCCGACGGAAAACGACGACGCTCGACGACGGACGGGCAACGATAGCGCGCCGCCGACAAAAACACAGAACGGCCGCGCCACGCGTGCGACGCATTCGGTCGCGCCGGGGCGGGTGCGGCGGCGGGGCGCGGACGGTTATCGCGTTTGCGGTTTAGCGTTTCGTCCGCACGAGCGCTCTGTCCGCGTCGACCGCGTGCACGCCAAACATACGGTTATCATCACTATATAGAACGATATCGTAATCAGCGCGGCAGCCGTGGTTATCGCGGACGGTACGGACGAAAAAAAAACACCACTTCAAAATCGTTTCCTTATCTCTCTATACTCCGTCATCGACTGGCGCGACGGCCGTCAAGCATTGCGGCATTGCACACGATCGGTCGTACTACGACGGTTAGTACTTCCGATATACTTACACACATGACTTGAACACTCTGTGATCTTAGGTACTTAACAATTTTCTCTCCTCTTTTTTCCCTCATTTTTCCTCGTGTACATTCTTACTATTTTCATTCGCTTCACGTCGTCTTCGGTCCTGCCTCAACGCCCCGCCCAAGCTACGCTTGCATTGTCTCCACCGAAATGAAGTTCGCAGAACATCTACAGGCTCACATCACGCCAGAATGGCGGAAACAGTACATCAACTACGAGGTATGTACACCGAGAATCCACCGGCAAGTGCACGACGTCCGGTCCTCGCTAATCTTACTGTTGCTTTCATCTAGGACATGAAAGAGATGCTCTACAAAATCGTAGAAGAAGCACCGTCAATAGAGTCCACGGACCCCGAAAACCTGCACCGCCGTTTCATTCAATTCGACGAACACTTTTTGCAGTATTGCGAAAAGGAACTGGCTAAAATTAATGTTTTCTACTCCGGTTTGTAACGCTGAACAGTAAAAATATACATTCACTTGTTTTTTACCTATGTGATGATTTTTCAGAAAAACTTGCCGAAGCAATGCGTAAGTTTTCAACTTTAAAGAATGAGCTTGACTTGCTTTCTTCCACTGCAATAAAAATGAAAGATTATGGTAAAAAGTCTGATTCCAATAAACTGAACTTACCTCAACGCAAAGTGCAAGAGCTCAAATTAGCTTTCAGCGAGTTTTATTTGAGCTTAATACTTTTGCAGAATTACCAAAATTTAAACTATACAGGTTTTAAAAAAATTTTGAAAAAACATGATAAGGTTTGTATTTTTATAAATAGTATTAAATTAAATTAAATAATAATTAAATTCATAATATATAATACTATCCATATAGTTTAATTCCTATGAAAAAATATTTCTTATTTCTAGTGCTCGAATGTATTATCATCCTGTAGAATCTGATACGTACTAATTGACTATTACCTACTAAATTGATAAACTGTGATCTCCAATATTTTTACTGTCATCAGTTTGTATACACCCAATATTATACCATAACATTTAGCTTCTAATTACTTTCTTATAATCTAAATTTTAATCCATTTATTATTTTTTGTATTTGCCTTTCTTTATTTGATTAACAAATGTTATGATGATTTAGTTTTATTGGAATTCTGCCTTATCAGTAATTTTTTTTTTTTTTTTAGACATTTGTTTTATATTTATAATGCAAATTATTAGTTACTGTCCAATCTTTTATTTGTACACAAATCTAGTTTTTAGATTAGTTTTTTTTTTAGTAAATTAATCTACTAATTAATTGAATTTATACAATTTCACTTACTTAATTTTTTGTCAATACTATTATTGTATTGTATTGTATATGATAATATAATTTATAGGATGAAATTACTGGAATCATATGACCTATTTTTGTAGTTGTAATATTTAAACTTTATAACATCAATAGATTTTTTTCTAAAGATAATAAATAATTTTACATATCATTTAAATTATTATGATAGGTTAAGAATTAAAATGTTATGCAGTTATTTTCTAAAGAAGATTCTCTTAATTCACAAATATTTTCATAGTTATACCATCTATGCAGCTCTATATGTCTCATTCAAGTTTTAAATTATATAATAAACCTCAAAACCTAATTGAGTTATTTTACTTCATCTTCAAAGCACATTTTTTTTTTTTATTTAATTAATTTTTATTAAATTTTTTCTTTATAGGTTTTTATACTAAAATATATTGATACGTTAAACTATTAAAGTTTTAATAACTTAACATTAATTATTATTATCCAGAGTAAACAACTATATTGAATTACTTTTATTACTAATTTTAAATTTTACACTTTTATTTAGTACTAAAATAAGTCTAAATACATTATTTAACAGTAACTTTAATAATTGTCCTTAAATTTTATCTTTTAAACCATTATAAAACTCAATCAAAATGTCTTCTTTGTTTAACTTTGATTGGCTTATCTGTCTTGTGTCATGTTTCATACTTTCATTATTATTAACTATTAATATTAAGTGTAATATTTACATATTGCATTAGATATAACATTCTTAATATTTACTATCATAGGCTTTTGTAATGAATAATAACATGGATCAATATACATTGATTAAAATTATTAAATTAATTTAAGTACACTCTTCTAATTTAATTACTTTTATGTCTTCTTTAGTTATATTTTAACAAAATTAGAGCACAATGATTTTAAAGTCAAAAACAAACATCTAAATATACATAATAATATAATTTTATACATATTTAAGTTATATAACATATACATTATTTAGTTTATTGCACATATATTTTAATGTTGAGTATCGTATAGATATGGATTGGTAGATTCTGGTTAGAACCAAACCTAACCTAACCATCTGCTCTATTAAGACACACTTGAAATCCAAATTTTTTTTAAAAATATAAATCTTTTTTGTTTTAAATTTATCTTTATAATTCTTTAGTTCATAAGCCACAACACCAATTTGAAAAGTATTATACAATTTATAAAAAATATAATTGTCATTAAATACATACTTATATAATGGTTAAGCAATAGCATAATATTTAAGTTGGACAAATAGATCACCACTATTCCCCCTAAGTTGTATTTATAATAATACAATAAAAAATAAATATTATTGTAAATAATAATTCGATAAATTAATAAATGTAGGGAATCTAGAAAATATTAAGAGTTGTATTAAATGATTTTACCCCCTATCCCCATCTTTATCAAGCTTCAGATACACTATTGTCGCTAAAGTATTTCATTATTTTTAATAGACATCTTTAAAACTTACTGAATTTAAAGTTTCAAAAAATGTTATGTTTTAGTTGATGAATAAAGAAAGTGGTGCAAAGTGGCGTCAAGAGCAAGTAGAAATATCTCATTTTTATACAAATAAAGACATATTACGTTTAATTAATGAAACTGAACATACTGTTACTCACGATCTGGAGTCTGGTGATCGTCAAAAAGCTATGAAAAGACTTAGAGTTCCACCTTTGGGCGAAACACAAAGTCCTTGGACCACTTTTAAAGTGGGACTATACTTAGGATGTCTTATTGTTTTGCTAGTTGCAATTTTCATTTCTGGTAAGTGTACATTGTACCTATAACTATAAAAAAAATCACACAAATTATTTAAAAAAATATTTAATTTGTTGTTATAGCTACTTTTGAAAAAAATACCAACATTAAACAAGCATTCCGTTTATATCGTGGACCATTCCTTATAATAGAGTTCCTTTTTTTGATGGGCATTAATGTTTATGGATGGCGATCTTCTGGTGTTAATCATGTTTTGATATTCGAATTGGATCCAAGAAAGCATGTCACTGAACAACACATGTTTGAAATTGCAGGAATTCTTGGTGTTGTGTGTGCTCTTAGTATTTTAGGTTATTTATACTCTGATGCTCTGAGTATACCTGCATATATTAATCCATTGTCCTTAATAATTTTATTTACACTGCTCATGATTAACCCAATTAAGATATTTTACTTTGAAGCAAGATTTTGGCTGTTACGTATAGTAGTAAGTTAATTTTATCTATTTCTATTATATATAAGTTTTAATTTTTTATTTTTGGAAAGTATAAAAATTTGATTTTAGTGGCGAATGGCGTGTGCTCCATTTTATTATGTTGGATTTGCTGACTTTTGGCTCGCAGATCAATTGAACAGTTTGGTAACTGTTCTGCTCGATGCTCACTATTTGGTTTGCTTTTACATTTACAATAACAATTGGTATCAAACTTCAGGTTAGGCAAAATCTATATTTAAAATATTGTTCTTGAATTGAACAATATTTACACCTTTTGGTCTGTGTTAATTGTGTATTTTAATTATTTTAGAGGTTAAATTTAATGTTGAAGAATATTTTATTTCAAAAATGATAGTCAATTGTATTCCTGCTTGGATCCGGTTTGCTCAATGTATTAGACGTTACAGGGATACTGGTGAAACATTTCCACATTTAGCTAATGCCGGGAAGTATTCAACAACATTTTTTGTTGTGTTTGCAAGAACATTGTTGAAACAAACAAAAAGTAATAAATCTATTCGACTGTATGTTTAGTTATTATAGCAATGTTAAGATGAGTGAGAATATTGTTATTTTGTCATAGGTAACTATACAAGTAGTTATGACAATCCATTCTTTTTTTTTTGGATCATATGTTCTGTGATAAGTTCGATTTATACATACACCTGGGATGTAAAAATGGACTGGGGATTATTCAATAACAATTCTGGAGAATATACATTCTTAAGAGAAGAGATTGTATATGATAATACAGTGAGATAATTTTTATTTTATTTTTAATATTTTAGTATGGTTTTTTTTTTTTAAAATACATTTAAGTTATGACATCCGTCTCTTATTGCAATATTGTAAAATTAAAAAAAATTATTTTATTATTTTACTGTATGAAATACAATTATTTTTTTAGGGTTATTATTATTTCGCAATTGTTGAAGACCTCGTGATTAGATTATTATGGGTTCCACAATACTTACTTACAAGTCATGGTATTTTATCTACTGAAATGGCTAATTCTTTAGTATCACCACTTGAAGTCTTTAGGTAAGGAATCAGATTTCATAAAATATCCGCATTGTGTATTGTGTATCAACCAATTTTTTGTTTACAGACGATTTGTATGGAATTTCTTCCGCTTAGAAAATGAACATCTAAACAATTGTGGTAAGTTCCGAGCAGTAAGAGACATATCAATAGCACCAATTGATTTCTCTGACTCTGCTCAAATTGTTCGCATGATGGATGAAGAGTTGGGTGTGACAAACAGACGGAAACGTAAGCTTCTTCCAACAAAGAAAACTACAAAAGAAGATAAATTGCAGTTAGTTACCGACCAGAATTCATATTCCTTGGATTTAACTGAATAAAAACTAACAAAAAATATTTCTACTTTATTATTCCATTACATTTTGTATAGAAATAAATTGTATTCTTGATAATAGACTTTGTAAGCTCAAGTATATTTATATATATATATAGTCGAAAACAATCGAATTTAATATATTTTTTAGAACGTATTTTTAATGTATGCAAATTGCTTAATGTATTACTTAAAAAGAAATAAAAAAAAGGGTACTGAATTGATTTTATACACTTACATATTGTGATCTCTAGTTTAGTTAAGTAGTATAATATATTTTCAATTAACCTTGGTATAGTATTAGGTAAGATTTTATTATGGATACACGGGAAATTTATGCCTACCTTGTTTTATTTTTTCTTGTGATTTAGAAAATTAATAATAGTCAATTCAACATAATGAAAACATGTTTTCAACGTAACTAATCCATTAATTCCTTTATTATTATTTGTTAATGTTCCTTTTAAATGTGTTTTCCATGAAAGCCAAATTAGTTATAATTAAGGAATTTAATTATAGGTGTACACATTTATAATAAATATATATTTTTAATAATTATGATTTATGTTTGTAAAACCTTCGGTATGAATGTCACTTAATAAATTGTCATTGTGTAATATTATTATAATATTAAAAATAGTTTTATAATAAATAACTGTTATATTTTATCTATTCATATATTATATATATTTATAAACAATTTATATTTGTGAAAATGGTTGGTAAAATATTTAGAAATTATACCAATAATTAAATATTATTTGTAAACCTTTTTATAAAATATAAAATCTACTTAAACTCCAATATATATTATATTTAATGATAAGGATCATCAATCCTAGTATCCTACCTAGGTACTTATTAGATATTGTGCGAAATATTTAAACTATTATAAGTCTTAGTGTTTTACAATCTTACCTCAGTTAGATCTTTATACTCCAAGTTATATGCATGGTTAAGGTGGGGGACTCAGTCGCTCTACCCATGAAAAATGTATTATATTAATTAAATTAAATTTGTCATGCCTCTATCTTTAATTGTACTTCAGTAGCTGCTGCGTACGCAGGATTTGAGTTCGGTTAAGGTTTTACCTGAGTAAATAATTTACGTTATTTTTTTCTAACAGTTTAATTTTTATAAAACAAATTATATTTAGTCTACATTTACAGTATTTAACCTGATCATTTACATAAAGCCTCTGTGGGCCGTAATAAACGTGGTAATAATCGATGAACGATGAAATTTTGGGGTGGTGGGGTCAGAACCCTACCCCTGCGTACGTCTTTGCTTCTAATAGTAGTATATTTTTATTTTTGTCTTTAATTTTTTCAGCTCCTTTTTGTTTTTTACTGCAGTCTGATCCATCCATTTCCTTTTTATTTTATAATTCGCAACTATTACTATATGAATTATAATTCCTAGTTAAGTCAGGCCCTGATTTAATAAAATTTGGGCCAAGTGCACAATTTTTTTGGGGGGCCCTCTACCCCCACCGGCCACCACCACAAGTCAAAAAAATGTTCTAGAAAAAATCTATACACAAAGTAGGAGGAAATATTGATAATAAAACAAAATATTTATATGTTAAGTATTAAATAAATATCTCAAAATTCATAAAATATTTGTACATTATTTCATATACTATAAATACAATTTAGTTACTTGGTCTGGTAAATTAAGGACATTGAAAAAATAATACTAATTAAATAACATAATTAATTATCAATCTTCCATAAAATTATAAAAATGGTAAATAAATTGTTAATTTCACAATTTATTTTATACAATTAAAATGAAATGAAAAATAAATCATTTCTATATTTTCTATATTTATATTTTTATTTAGCTATAACATTTTATCACAAAAAAAGTTTAAAAAGATTTCTTTCTTGCTTTTTTCTCTGCAAAAGTAAATATTTCCGATGTTCGAACAATTTTCTATTATTATTATTTTAATATGACGTATTGAGGTGAAGAATAACTTATACTAGTATAAGGTCTATGGGAATTATAATTTATTAAAAATAATTAATTTAAAAAAAAATTTTAATACAGAAAATGTTCTACAATTCACGGAGATCGGGGGCCCCCAAAAATTGGGGGCCAAGTGCAAGTGCTCCATCTGCACTTGCGTAAATCAGGGCCTGAGTTAAGTACCTACTTAGTAATTGAATTGTAAAATTAACCTAATTGTGCTGAACTGCCGCGTGCTGGTATCGAGGTTTTGAACGACGATTGATATTTAAATATAAATTATATAAATTTCAAATAAAAATATCCTTTATTAGGTACCTATTCATATTATTATTAACGACCCGTATCGACTTGTACAATCGTCAAAATTCGTCGTCATTACCCGCAACCCGTCGGCCCATCTGATCGATGACAACCCGAATAAGAATAACCAATTATTTATTGATTTTTTGATTGAAATTTAAAGTTATTGTTATTACTTATTGATAATTAATATTGTTATTCAGTTTCTGTTGTAGACGTTGTATACTAATTGTATTATTACAATTCACAACGAGTTGCGGTATAATATTATAGACTGTTATTACATAATATCATTGAATGAATAATCTATAATCAATGGCAATATTTATTTATCATTAGATTATACTTACGTCTACCGACTATTTAGTATTTACTATTCAGAACTCGACCCATCGGGAATTTCTCGATTTCCCTATGGCCTATGGTCCAATCCGTCGCTGCTAACAGGGCTTGTATAATATAATCTAAGGTCTGAACCATTGAGTACCTACCTTGAGGATAATAATACTCCAACCACGGTCTTAGAAGAGATCTTCTAAGACCGTGGTTTGAGTATTATTCAATTTATAAGAATGATAAGTTTTTCGCTCCATAAATTATCACCATGGTTTTTTTAATTTTCTGAATAACGTTTAACGTTTTGAATTTTATTGACAAATGTTCAGCTTCAGACAAGGTCATTTTCGATAGAGTCAATCTTTTAATACCTACATATTATTTTATAAAATTGGTTTAAGCATTTTTCTCTTATTTTTATGATTATTTAAACGGTGTTCAACCACTGGTGTTTTAAATCGACAAAAATCCACTAAATGAATAGTGTTCATTAACTGGTTTTATGTGTTGTACCTATACAGTAGGTAAATTAACAACTACTGTTTGTTCAGACCACCCCTGACTCAGGAGATATAGGTAGGTACCTACTTACTCACGACAATTTGTATTTAATAGTAGTTTCAAAATAATTACGTATTTACGCAGGTAGGTATTCTATATTTTCACTGCAAGTGCACTGGGCACTAATCATGAATTTTATCCAGTTCTCGAATTGTGGGGGGGGGGGATGCTCAGGGGGACGGAGCTTCCCTACTATTCTTATTTATTTTTTGCGTACCCCTACTATTTTTTGTACGGTCTGTGTTGAAAAATTGCGCCCTTGAAACGCAGTTTTTAAATCGTTAGATTGAGCTCCTCTACTTAATTTTCCCCGATTCGAACACTGATTCCTATCTAAGATTAAGACATTTTATTTTTAATGCGATCATTATAATATATTGAAAGTTGCTGAAATGACTCAATTTTTATATAGGTATTTTAGAACTATTTCTGCTTGTAGATATATGCGAAGATATATGTATATACTCTACACATTATAACATATAAGTAGGTAGGTAGTTAATAACAGTGGTGATTATTTTAAGTATAAACGGTGATCACTCATTTTCTCAAAAAAGTGGTTACGTTTTTGGAAATTATTTTGCCATATTTTTTAAAGTTATAGTTCTTTTAAATCACAGGCTGCATTTTTAATTTAGTATTTTAAACCAGCATATATTCTTCATAGAATTTCAATTTATAAAAGTCGAAACTCGAACGATTACCTAGTTAAATTATTATAGTTAGGTTTTTAAAGCTTTGGGGAACGGAGTAGTGTCTTAGTGAACCAACATTTTGTAATTTACCTCTATCTATTTTGCCCATTTAAACTTTGTATAGTAAGTACCTACTTATAACTTACTAATTTACAACCTACTAATTTGAAATTCGATTTTTAAATTTAGTAGTATAATTGAATATTTCTAAAAAAGTTAATAATTTTGAGGAAACGAGTGTTGACCTCTAAAAAAATTATCTTGTATAAAATATTAATTATTATAGAATATAGATTAATTGATTATAGGTAAGTCCAATCAATATAGTATTGTTTTTTAGTATTTATACTTACTCAATAATAAATAATAATAATAATAATACCTATAAACTAGTATACGTGTCAACTGCAAATTAGAAAAATTGATTAAAGAATGAATTAATAAAATATCACGAAAATTATATTGGTCGATTAAGGTGCACATTGCACATAGTTTATTTATCATGTTAGCCATAACATAATTTTAGGGAATAATAAAAACAATTTCGGTGTAGGTACTTTTTTTTTTTTTAATTTACACGGTAATGATATATAGATATCATTGATTTACCTTCTTTTTTTTCAGTATAACGCTTGAATGAAATTTTTCCATAAAATTGTTCCATGGTTAGAGTTTGAACCTCTGACAGGAGAAGGTCCACATTTCAGTACTTCACATATTATACATTATAATATACAACACGTCATGCGTGGATATAGGTAAGGTAACAATTATAACAACCGAAACTAAAAAAAAACCCTCGTTGGCCCTCACAATGATTTGTCATCCGTTACATCTTGCGTATTAGTGTATTACGTAGGTATATATTATAATATTAAGGCACTTATGTCCATATTATTATTATTTGGTAAAGTACACTATACGGGTTTTACACAAAGAATTTTTTTTAAATAATACGTGTATAAATATCTAATTTAATATTATTTATTAAATACCTACCTACCTATAGTTAATATAAAATATTACTTAGGTACTACTGATTTACTCGTTTTCAGATTATTTATTAAATTACATGTTCGTAGGTTCTTTACATTTAACAAATGCCTTTTTATAAACTGAACTTTTTTATAAATATCACCATGACCACTAGATAAATAAAAAGAACACAAAATGGAATATAATTTGTTATTCGTGTTTGCTTTTTAAATACAAATATACAACTATTAATTTTCTTGATAAACTTAATAGTACGAAAGTACAACATAATTAAAACAAAAATACTATCGTAATGATATGTAGCTCAAGTCCGATTGAAAATTATGTTTTACATACCTAATATTATATTAAAAAAATTAAAGGGAAATTTATATTCTATTTGATTAGTTTTTTACTATAAACTGTTTTTTATCTAATTATTTTTATAGTTCAAGATATCAAATAGACAACCGGGTTCTTATTATTTTGGAAATTCATAAAACGGGTCTGTGTTGAATAATTTCACCCTTGGAACGCAGTTTTTAAATCGTTGGTTTGAGCTACATATCATTAAGCCCAGGTACATATTAAGTTTTGATTGTAATAACAAAATTTTCATTTATAAATGAAAAATGTATAATATTTTTATGTTGTAAATTAAATATTGTTCTTTTACATAAAGCTTTTTATATTAAAAGTAAGTAATGGATACCTAATTTAGATTTGTTAATAAATAATTCATACATGTTATTATTATCAATATTATTTATTCTAAATCTGAAACTAGAAATATTGACCACAGATTTTAGCTTTAAATACACCATTAAGAAGTGCTTCTATAACTATTACTTGATAAGTTTAAAATTTAAAATGTTTCATTATTATCAATTATCTGTGGTAAATAAATTATTGGTCCAGTATATTGCAAAAGATTTTGTAAATGTTGGTCCTCAGAATACTGTGTGAGTGTGCTTGATTTTTCGTAAAAAAAATACTAATTGGTAATCTCCCTAAGATGGACGTATTTTTTTTAATTTTCCCCTAAGATCAGGCCCTGCTTTTACCTCACACAAAATATATTAATTTTTTTGTTGGGCCCTGTGTTTAAATGTTTTTAATAGCAAACATTGTAATAGGTAGTCGGTAAGCGTGTAAGTGCGGGTGTCACTCTGCTGTACAGTAGGTGTAGGTTACAAGTTTGTGACTGTAATGGATGGTGTTAAATTTGAATTCAATGATATAATATCATTGTAACGAAAAATTATTTTGAGCGGAGACGGTTTGTCAGCCTAGGATATTTTATATTATAATATTATATACATAGTTTATTGATATTTATACTGTTAGGTATGATTAATACGGTAGCAAGTTAAGTTGAATTATTATTATTTGTTTATTATCATATTATCTAATACATAAAATTCTCGTGTCACAATGTTAGTTACCATACCTACTCCTCCAAAACGACTTGACCGATTTTTATGAAATTGTATATGCATATTCAGTAAGTCTGAGAATCGGCTACTATCTATTTTTCATATCCCTAAGTGATAAGGGTTATCCAGAATAAAATAAAAATAAAAATAATAGTGTATTATATTCTATTGTTTGCTATTGGTTAATCGGGCATGTTTGTTGATTTGTATTATTATTTTTTCATAATATATATATATTTATATATATATATATATATATATAAATGAATGTTTGTGTGTACATTAGGGTTTATGGTCACATCCCCGTCTTACATTTCCCCGTCAGACATTTCCCCGTCCTCGTTTCCCCGTCGGACATTTCCCCGTCTGACTAATTTTCCCGTCGGACATTTCCCCGTCTAATTCAAATTTAAAATACCTATAATTACTGTAATGTAAGCGCCCTCACACTTATTTCCAGGCTTGGGACTGGCAACTCATACTTAATACGTAATGAATTGGCGGTTTACACTTTCTTTTTTGTTGTTACCTTAAAGTTAAAACTAATAAAACTTAAAAAAGTTATGTCTGTTTATTTATATCTAACATATTAAAATTAAAAAACTAAAACTAAAACCTACGAGTGATCACTACTATTGAGCTGATGTTAAATATTATTTTTATTTTTGCATCTCTAAATTATGTGCTATTCCAATTAAATATTCTTTTTTATCGCGATCATTGTAAGTAGTTACAATATTTTTTATCCGTGTGGCTACTTCTTGATATTTTTTTCTTTTAGCTGGTGGTTCTTGACCAACCATCAACTGGTTAATTTTTATTTCAGTTAATCGTTGTTCTTTTTTAAGGGTATCAATTAATCGCCATATAGTTGGGTGAGTTGCGGCTAACAAAGATGAAAAAGCTTTATGCCAACCTTCGACTGAATTATTTGTTTTAGGTAATTCTTCAAGTGTCGCGTCATATTGGTTCCATAAATCTAGACTAAATGTAGGTGGCCGACGGATTCTTCGTCTTGTTGGTCTACCAATCCACGTATCTTCAAAGTAATCAGTTAGTGGACGCAAAAGCTCTTCGTGTTCTACAAAAAAACTTTGTGACATTAGTTCGTCAAATGTGTCTACGACATCAGGTACTGGAATGAAAGCTAATGCCATTAATTGCTTTATGTTTAAAGCAAAATCTGCATCTGAAATATATTTTTCACGAATATCAGAAATAGTCTGTATTTTTCGCCATATACACTGCCCAAAGTGAAAAAAACACCCTCTAATTTTGGTGTTTGTAAAAACATCAATAAATGCACCAAATAATGCTTGTTCAAAATCGGTCATAATAGTTACTGGTTGTAGGTTTTTATTTAAATTTAAAAGTTCTCTTGCTACTCGATCATAACTATCTTTTGTTTTATTTGGAAGAAGCGCAAACACCAACGGCAAAACTGTGTTGAATTTTATAGCATGTATGGTAAGAAGCTGAGTAAGCAGATGCGGGGATGATTTAAATGTACCATCGATAAACCAGTGACATTGTTCGGATGATAATATTTTCAAATTTTCGTCCGTGGAAAATAATAAAATCCTATTATCATTACCAACACCGCTGTCATAAAGAATGAATGGATCATTACTTAGTGTACGCGTATATGGCTCAATAAGAATCAATTCTGCTAAAGTTGAAGGATTTGATGGGGGAGCATTTTCTCGACGTCTGATTCTTTGTACAATTTTTTTCATAGCTGGCACTGAAGGTAAAGTAGCACATATTGCTTGAGATGAAGATGGGATTTGAGAAATTACTTTATGCGGTGTAGCTTCAATTTGACTAGTTGCCGTTTCTATTTTACTTTTTGTATAAGTTTCTTAGCACCAATTTATGCTGCATTTGGTATGTGATTGTGGTGTACAACTGCATCATCTTTAGTGTGTGCTCGTCCAAGACACTTATCGGTATTATATTTTAAACATTTCCAATACGTCTTACCATTTTTTGTATAATCTTTTTCAAATACATATCCTACAAACACTAACAAATCTTTTCCTTTAGAACTTTTAACGTACTCTAAAACCATAATAGATATTGTATAAATTTGTTTAACAACAAATTAAAAATTAAATATTAAATTTGAAAAAAATAAAATTATAAATTAATTATATATATATTATATTATAAGAACGACGCGCGACGGTTGTCGAATATCGAAAGACTGATTATTGTGTATACTACTATAATGTTTACCTTACAATCTGTCATTTATATCTTCTCGGTTGCTCTTATCTTAATCACCGATAAAACTAACGTACTACGGCAACGGAATTGTCGCTAACTGTATAGCTAATCTAAAGTATGACAATATTACTTATTGACTATTGTATGTAATCTACATTGTGATGTTTTGACATTTGTGTAACTAAATTAAATTGAATTAGACGGGGAAATGTCCGACGGGAAAATTAGTCAGATGGGGAAATGTCCGACGGGGAAACGGTGACGGGGATGTGACCTGCTACCGTACATTAGACCTCTATGAAGAAGATAGGCTAATTTAAAAAGGGTTAAATTTTGTTTTTCTTTATTCATCGAATTTTAGTACGGTTAGGTTGTGTTAGGATTTTGTATTAATTGATTATATTAATCCACCTACGGTGGATTAAGTAAAAACGACAAACTTAGTATAACTTTGATACTTTAGAGTTAAATCATACACTTATACGTTTATACAGCACGAGGTCCGCGATACTTACCTGATAATACACTGATACACTGCTACGAATCAGAATTTTTATTCTGGGCAACAGAAAAGTTAAGATAAATCTAGAACATCATACACCGAATATTAAATAACGCATTGAACAAAGTTTGTACATAACAGGTTTCATTTAAAGGGATCAGCAAGTTTGTATATAATATTTAATAATAATAACTCAATAATAAACATATTTTATGATTTTTGAACTTATAAGCGTTTAATTTAGAAATAAATTATTATTTTTTTCAAAAGAAATTTTTTTTATTGTTTTTTAAGATATTAGTGTTGATAACCATGATATAGTGAATATGTTATAAATTATAATACATTAAGACCACGGCCCACGGGTGATTTTATCACCTGCGTTTTCGCTCTGTGCCTCAGCAGTCGTTGGGGTTGCCACTTGCCGATTGGCAAACGTAACCTCTGCCATTACGTCGCTGAAGTACGGAACATACAAGTAGGTAGTATCTAATACTGATTACTCTACGGTACAGAACTAACAATTTAAGCCACAACGAATACAATTTTGGTAATATATAAGCGCAAATAGCGTATTCGCTTCGTTGCCATAGACCACAGTTGAATTGCAAAAATCAAAAAAAAGAAATATAGATCTTGATTTGAAAATAAATATGTAATTTGTTCTATCAAATATCTAAACATTCTTTCCTAGGGGGAGTTGATCAACCACCCTCCCTACACCTATGAAGTGAAGTCTTCAATACGCCACTGATTGTTCATATATTATGTAATAATAATAGTCAATTACAAAATTCAGATTTCACAGATGATTCAACGCTAGAATTATGAACAACAGGAGGAGTAATAGTTGTCACTCCAGGTGTGCACATATCCTCATTATCAATCTTAAATTTCTCACAATCTTTCTGGTGCCAGTCTCGACGATTGCGATCAACTCCTGATGAACATCGGTTTTCGCACCAGAAACACTATAATTCAACAAATATTTTAATTAACTTATACAACTTAGAGATAATATATTTAATCATACAATTAGGTAAATTATAATTATTATTTTGTATATATTACTTGGAAATTTCTGCTTTTTTTTAAATACAACTTGTACAATTTTTCTCCTCTAAACATGTTGGCAATGCAGTTAAAATTATAACAGTTCCATCTATTACTTCATATTCGTGGAATAATATTCTACGATATTCATAAACAGTTTTTCTTCTGACAACTATACATAAAAATAATAATATAAATGACAAATACCAAATTTTTCAGAAATTACATGTTGAGCACTTGGTGTCGTAGGTACTTCAAAATTCTAAAAATTGGGAAATTTAATTTTTGATTATTAGAATCATTAATAATTTAATAAACCATCATAATTTACTAAGTTACAAATAATTTAAAATTGTAGGTACTAACAAAATATTGTTTTATATAATACACATGTATCAGACAGTCCAATTTTAACTGGATGATTTGTAGAAACAATATCTTCGATTTTAACTGGTACATTTTTGTAAGGAAACACAATATTTCCATTTGAATGTAAAGTTGTTTGAAAAGTGAATCCTCAAACTTCAGGTTTATCTTGTAAAGTGACATTATGCCAAGTAACTGTTAATGCATTACCATTTTCCATGTAATAAATGTTCTAATGATTTGATGAACTTAAATCAAAATTGGCCATTAAACTCATTAAAGGCGCTATGTATTGAGTGGCTGCTAACAACGAATGAACGTAATCTCCTAAATATAAAAAACCTCCAGTTGCAATTGTAATAGAGTTTATTAGATTTCCATAGAAGGGGAACTGAAACGTCAAGTTGATAGTCTGAAAATATAATTTTATTTAACAAAAATACCACAAATTTATTTAAAATTATATTCTAAACTTACTGCAGCTCTGCGATGAGAATATAATAACATATCATGAATATTTGCATCTGGATGGTTCTCCAAATCAACCCAATTTACATTAAATATCTTGATATTGTGAATTGTTGTACTATTGTAGTATATTATATGAGAATCCTAAAAATCATATAAAAGTTTTTTTTTTTTTTTTAATTAACAGGGTGTAAACTAAGCAGAGGTCATGCCCGTATATATTGACTCTGTGTCTCTGTATAACAAACGTGTACCTAATAGTGGCGTCATTGCAATTATTATTTTTTTTAAGTATAATTTAATACAATCCACAAACCCTGCACTTTAGAAATTATTTTATTACCAACCAATTTAAGAAATGGGTAATTCACAATAAAATTGGATTTTTAATAGGTACCTAAACAATTATATACCATACACGAACACACGGTCCAAATTACGATACTAAGTCGTAAAGGATTCTTATTCATATTTATACTTAATATTGAATTATCTTAGTTTATACCAGTGGTTTTAAATAAAATAAAAAGGTAGGCAAGTGGGTGTCGCTCTGCAAGTAGGTTACAAATGGGTCACTGTAATAATGGATAGTGTTAAATTTGAATTCAATTATATAATATCATTGTATAAGAAAAACGATTCTAAACGAATACGGTCAGTCAGTCTATGCTATTAGTATTCTTAAGTATATATTTTGATGATATCATTATGGATAAAGTAATTTACATATAACCTATTTACGTGGAACCTTGTTTTAAATTTCCAATCCTTAGATTCTTTCCAATCTATTTTATTGAAAATTATTATTTTTAATTGATTAGCTTGTGGACATTTTTTTTTGATAAAGGTAGACAGACTTATGAGGAATCGTGTATTACATTTTCAGCTGATGTTAAGGCGGTGCAAACGGGCTGCACGCATTAAGCGTATCGGCAGCACACAATAATAATTTCAAGCTTGGTAGAAATGGAAAACCACGAGGTTTCGGACGGAAAATACGTTTTCGCGACACCAAAACAATCAACCGACGTAACTATATAGGCATATAGCTGGTCCATGCACAAAATTTGGGGGCACGGCGACGCGGAGAAAGCGTCGTGCCAACGGTTTGAAAAAGACAAAAGCGCAAGTCACCGAAGCTGGACCGGTGTGGCCGTCAGACGACCGAAGCGGCGAAGCGCTAGAACACCCGGCGGCTTCTAGAAGGATCGGCCCCGACGGCCCGGCTGCGTGTTAGGAAACCCAGGACGCCACAGAGCGTCTTATGTATACCACGTTCTCATTGGCCCATTTCAAATTGCCCGCTTTTTTTTTATCATTTATCAAATAATTTAATTTAATTTAATAATATAATATTAATTTAAATATTATATTATATTATTTAATTTAAACAAATTAAAATAACTATATAGTAGGAAAAGGTACCTAACTAATATTAAACAATATTATTATGTTATTATAATTCAATAAATTAATGTAGAATGGGATCTCTACACAGTTATTTTTATTTTTTACTTTAGTAGGTACCTATACCTACCTCAGAGTGAACATTTCTTACTGGACTAAGTGTATTGTACTTGTACACACCTTTTGTGTTAGCTAAAAAGATTTTCTAGGTTCTTCCTAACATAGAAACAAAATACCAATCTTACTTAAATGTTTTATTTTTACTAAAACATTAGATTCTTAATTAAAATAGGTAGGTAGGTACCTATATATGGAATGGTAGCTACTGAAGCTAACCAAATTACTATCCAATTAAAGAAATAGTTGTAACTTCACATGAATGGTGCAAAAATCAATTTTGGACGTCTAGTTCATCGATGATTGAAAAACCCTGTTATTATTTTCAATTTTATATTTGTAGGTACACTACATTACTACCTACATCAGCAGTGGTTTATAAATAATATTTTTTTACACATTTATAATTAAACTAATTCAACCTTTTTAAAATGTTATGCAAGTATTAAGTAAACAAATATTAAGGTAGGTAAAAAATAATACATACATGTCTACCTACATAGTCAGAGGTAGGTAGGGGTTACACGATCATTGAAAATATATAAATATTAGACAAAAAAAAAAAAATTTTACAAACATTTAAAACTGTGAACATATTTTAAAGTATTTTTTTTTACTATGATGACCACCTCGCATGTTAAATTTCTGTCAGTTGGGCTCTGAATGTGATTTAATTGTCCTGAATGTAGGTACAACATGACTCCCTAAATAACAAAAATTTACTAACAAAATTCAAAAATTTGACCTACCCGATAATACTTTATAGGCAGTGGCGTAAATTGGGTCCAATTTCTGGTGGTGCAGAGGCATATTCTTAACCTATAATTTCCAACACAAAGATAATCCAACTTTCTAAGTAAAATCCTTCCTAACAAAAAAAAACTATATATTTATCCATACATTTTGTCAACATTTGAACTTCAAATGCTTATAAAAAAAAATTGTGGCTATGTATTTTTAATATTTTTCAACGCTATTGTAACAATATATCAGGAGCCTTCCATTAAATTTTCACGCCTTTTACCAAACAAATAAAATTTTATTGATATTTATAGAAAAGAAAAACTAAAAAAATTAAAAAATGACAATGTCCGGAAACAGCTCAATAAGAGAGTTAAAATATTTTCAAAACTTTGTGGTGTATAGAAAATTAAAATATAAATATATAAATTTTCATGTATTTACAGTTATTTGTTTGAATAACATCAAATTAACAAAATCGCTACATGAGAAATCTAGTGAAAATCCAATCTTGTAAAAATATGATTTTCAAATGCTCATAAAAATTTAATTTGATTTACTTGTGGACATTTTTTTTTTTTGATAAAGGCGTATACAAACTTATGAATAATCTTGTATTACATTTTAAAATCCTAAATTTGAAAAGCAACATTTTTATGATTTTTTCAACTCAAATTATATTGTTAATTATCATGATTTTTCTGTTTTTTGTAAAGATTTGAACTTTAAATGCTTATAAAAAAAACTGTGACTAAGGATTTTTAATAATTTTCTAATGTCATTGTAACAATATAGTTGGAGCCTTGTATTAAACTTCCAAGCTTTTTTACCCAACCAGTGAATATTTCAATTATATATGTATATGTTCATTTGTTTGGTCAAAAACCAAAATCGATTTTGTCGAAAACCGATTTCGGGTAAAAATTCCTGTTTTTCCTTAATTTTTATGTTGTTTTTCCTGGCGCTTATGAAACCTGTAGAGAATTTTAAAATTTGATTCAATACGACATCTAGCTGTCATCTGACATTTGACTTTTGAGAATTGAATGAACATTGATCCAGTGATAACACACTATTTTGGCGGTAGAATGTTGATAGCAATATAATTTTACCATATTATACCTACGTCTATTCTGTGCACGATTAAAGATATAATATCTTTAATCGTGATTCTGTGATGATACTGCCATTATAAAATACAAAATTCTGTGGATAGTGGTTACCATAGATAATAATCTAACTATTTATGGGGGTTGTACGATATTTTAGAATATAGACAGGGTAATAATTTAAATAATAATGTCTAATACATACACGAAAATAACTATTTTGTACCTCTTTATATATTATATATTTCAATGATTTTCTGGTGGTGCAAAAACATACCTTTGCACCACCCAGTTTACGCCACTGTTTATAGGTGTTACTAGTTCCTATATAGATTATAATGACAATTATTTTAAAATATACCATTCAATTTTATTTGCATGAACTTTTAGTAAGGTTTTTTACCAAATGTTTATAATTTGGAATGATTTTCAAATGATTTTGAGTCTGTTGTGAGTTATTTAAAAATATTTGAAATGTTCGATTTTTTTTTTATGTTGATAACATTTTTGGTTGACGGTTGTGAGTATAAATGTTGAAAATGTATTTCAAAGTTTCTTTTAAGGTCTTACCACAATATCAAAGAATAAAATATATTCCAATCATAAACTTCTAAAAAGGGGTCTGGTAGAAAATCGAATCCAGCTTATACTTTGAGGTGTCAATACTTGATATTTATCAGTACTTTTTATAATCAGAAACAAATTTACCGAAATGTGTTAAAATTATAATGTTATTTTAATATGCTGATAGTCTCCGCTCAAGGCTCTTTTTTTTATTCAATTATTTGTCGTTCAACTAAAAAAAAGTTTCTATAGATACTTAATAATGGGTTTTGTATATGCCCCTATGGTAATTTTAAAACATTAGTACATAATTGATATAAGTCTATAAATATCTATAAGTTTTAAGTATTAACCCTTTCACTGCTATGGACGCATATATGCGTCCAACGTAGGCAACTCTGTGGTGCTATGGACGCACATATGCGTCTTTTCATTTTAAAAATCATTTTGAGAAATTTGAGAAACCATTTTGAGAAACCCTGGCTAAGAGATATACAATTAGCAATAACTTGGTAAGTTTTGTTCCAATTTTTTTTTTTTAATTTTTTCAGATTCAGTGAGTATATATCTATATTTTTAAGGTGGAAATACTAGTTAAATAATTTATGAAATATAGTCAGCACAGAGCAGTTGCATTCGATTTTTATGGTCAGCAGTGAAAGGGTTAAATATAATAAACACAAAAATCCAATATTATAGCTATTATAACATTTTATTTAATATCTGCTATATTTAAGGACTTATTATCCTTAATATAAACATAAACTGAAAAGTTATTCATTCGAATTAGGAATTAAATAAATATCAACTTTTAATAAACCATCCAATAAATTAATTTAATTTAATCCTCTAGGTGATTATTTGAAAACCAGAAGTGTGCATCGCAACGAGACACTGAAAAAATCTAAAAGATGTACGGTTTTAATAAGGATTCCAAAATAATGAGTTAAATGACATTCATTGTTAAATGAAAAAATTAAGTTGAGCCTGCTTGGTGAATTACTCTGTACTAAGTACTTAAACAGATTTTTATAAATTTATTAAATTTATGTCTAACGAAATATAAATACTTATATTTAAATGTATATAAATGTAGAATGA